CTTCATTAGTCTCCGGCTAATAGATGGCCACCGAATGGATGTCCTGAAGCCTTATTCAGAAGTCATGACCAGTTAGGTCAACCGTTTTACTGTGAATCGGCTGCTTAATCGAGGTAGCACTGATTAAAGTTAGCTGTATATTACACATCCACAAAAGGTAAAATTCAAGATTTGATTCAATTCCGGTTGAAGTGGTTCAGTGGTCAACAAGGTTTGTCCCATAACTTGACGGTCTGAGGTTCGATCTGTGGTAATGCATGTGTGGTGGTAGTACGTTCTTCTGAATAGTGTCAAACTCGGACGAAACAGTTGTCCAATGCCCCTCTAATGATTTTCAGCGATCTCTCATCGATGCTGGTTCATGACTGAATCTGTATGATTATTTTTACTAATATCATAGAGAACGACTGGTAGCTTGATAGCTTTATTTGATGTGTACATGAAATAATCTGCCAGTGGAAAAATAATATTAGAACTTTAAAGCGGAGACTTTAGTCTCTGTTGTCGGTGATAATTACTATGGAATTGGTTTTATAATTATTGGTGAAAAAGTGAGAAAATGCCCTACCAAAAGCCTCAAAATTCCGTAAATGACCACGTCATGTGCCATACTATGGATCAGTTTACACCTGTGTGTGGACACACCTATAAAACTATTTGAAAAAACATTACTAATTATAAGCAATTCTCATTTTTAATTAATTTTTTTTCATTTTTACTTTTCGGGTTTTGCTTTCTGAATGGGACATAAGCCTTCGGAAGCACATCCTTATTTTCGCTAGGTTCACGATTGCTCACAATCGTTTATCGCCTATTCATATAATCAGCTCCTTTGAACTCTTGGACCTAAACTCGTTGGTATGCTTCTCATTCAGCTTCCACTTCGGAGCTTGGCATGATATGTCACTTAGTGGTTTTATCAGTGTACATCCGATCAACCTCCATTTACTTCCGCATATCCACTTGACTGTACTTTAGCAATCAGTGTCATAGGATGTTGCCGATAATGATGACAGGTGCACGGTAACAGCGAAAGTAAGTCCATATGAAGTTTAGTTTCTCAACTTCATATCTGCTAATATGTGCCATGAATTCATGTTATATCAAACACTAGATATCAACCATGTGAGTACAGCAAAAATAAACTGCAAAAATGTTGTTCTCCTGCCAAAATAAAACAACATCACTTCTCATTCTAGTGATCGAACATGAAATGACTGTCTGTGAATAAGTCCATTCAAGACATAGGCAAAAGTAACCACCGTCTATGGCCAAATAATCCTCCTCCCGTGTAGATAAATTGGTTATTAAATAATGTCCATCGACCTCACTGAATAATGATGATGGATGTGTCACACAAAACAATACGACTACACAATTAAACAAATTACCATTAACTACTTTGAAAATAAAATAAGTAGCATATGACGACAGCACCACGAATTGGCACCGTTTCAATTACAGGTGGTATAGATAATCATGTGTCAAGGCCAGTTATAATGAAATTATCCAAGCGAGACAAGCGTTATAATCTACCAAAGTGCTCAAGTTTTATCCCTATATCACTAAGACAAGAGTTCATCACTCTGAAATGAATCTACAGATCTACACCACTGAGCTCGCTTGGATAATTTCATTATAACTGGCCTTGACACATGATTATCTATACCACCTGTAATTGAAACGGTGCCAATTCGTGGTGCTGTCGTCATATGCTACTTATTTTATTTTCAAAGTAGTTAATGGTAATTTGTTTAATTGTGTAGTCGTATTGTTTTGTGTGACACATCCATCATCATTATTCAGTGAGGTCGATGGACATTATTTAATAACCAATTTATCTACACGGGAGGAGGATTATTTGGCCATAGACGGTGGTTACTTTTGCCTATGTCTTGAATGGACTTATTCACAGACAGTCATTTCATGTTCGATCACTAGAATGAGAAGTGATGTTGTTTTATTTTGGCAGGAGAACAACATTTTTGCAGTTTATTTTTGCTGTACTCACATGGTTGATATCTAGTGTTTGATATAACATGAATTCATGGCACATATTAGCAGATATGAAGTTGAGAAACTAAACTTCATATGGACTTACTTTCGCTGTTACCGTGCACCTGTCATCATTATCGGCAACATCCTATGACACTGATTGCTAAAGTACAGTCAAGTGGATATGCGGAAGTAAATGGAGGTTGATCGGATGTACACTGATAAAACCACTAAGTGACATATCATGCCAAGCTCCGAAGTGGAAGCTGAATGAGAAGCATACCAACGAGTTTAGGTCCAAGAGTTCAAAGGAGCTGATTATATGAATAGGCGATAAACGATTGTGAGCAACCGTGAACCTAGCGAAAATAAGGATGTGCTTCCGAAGGCTTATGTCCCATTCAGAAAGCAAAAACCGAATAGTACAAATGAAAATTATTAAAAATGAGAATTGTTTATAATTAGTAATGTTTTTTCAAATAGTTTTATGGGTGTGTTCACAGACAGGTGTACACTGATCCATAGTATGGCACATGACGTGGTCATTTACGGAATTTTGAGGCTTTTGGTAGGGCATTTTCTCACTTTCTCACCAATAATTATAAAACCAATTCCATAGTAATTATCACCGACAACAGAGACTAAAGTCTCCGCTTTAAAGTTCTAATGTTTATTTCTCCACTGGCAGATTATTTCATGTACACATCAAATGAAGCTATCAAGCTACCAGTTGTTCTCTATGATATTAGTAAAAATAATCATACAGATTCACTCATGAACCAGCATCGATGAGAGATCGCTGAAAATCATTAGAGGGCATTGGACAACTGTTTTGTCCGAGTTTGACACTATTCAGAAGAATGCACTACCACCACACATGCATTACCACAGATCGAACCGCAGACCTTCAAGTTATGGGACAAACCTTGTTGACCACTGAACCACTTCAACCAGAATTGAATAAACAGTGAAGTCTACCTTTTGTCGATGTGTAATATACAGCTAACTTTAATCTGTGCTGGCTCGATTAAGCAGCCGATTCACAACAAAACGGTTGACCTCACTGGTCATGACTTCTGAATAAGGCTTCAGGACATCCATTCAGTAGCCATCTATTCGCCGGAGACTAATGAAGATTTGAATGATGGATAACCAACGTCATCAATTAGAGGTCACTGAAAGCCTTTGGAGAGCAGTGGACAGCTGTTTCTACCGGGTAGAACTGTTGTGAGTGCCTACTGTTGAATAATCCAATACTTGAATGAAGCAGCTGTTCAGTGCTTCTCTAAGTGAGGTTAGTTCTGCCTTGTAATAAAAACAAATCCCTGTGGACGTTTCATAATCTAAATAACTTTGTATAAGGATTCAAATGGACTGGTATTTTTCTGGCAGTTTGTCTGTCAATGCGTAGGGTACACACGCATATATATATACATAAATGGGACTTTCATTTATACACACACACAGTGATTATCAGTTACACAATAAAAGTGTCAGTGTCATGAGTGTGGAAGTCTGTATTTGTTTTAGAAATTACTGTCCCCATCTATCCACCTATCTATCTATATTTTATCATCTTTAGCATAGAGGTTGATGGAACAGAAATCTGACTGTAACTCATTGGACAGTTCAGATGTACCGACAGATTATATATGAAAGGATTTATAGATTAGAGGTTATTGTATCAGAATTAGAAAAGGAAAGGCAGAAATTAATTAATCAGTTTTTGGGCCAGTAGTTTTGCCTGTCATAAAGAGCCTCTCAAACAAACTACAGACCTACATTAACAGCATGCTGTCTTCGCTCAATACTACTCAAGATCAGATTGCCGGCCAGAAAAGATCAGCAACAGAGATCTCTGGGAGTGAACCAACACAGCAGGAACCGATTGTGAGGCAAATATGCAGGAAGAAATGGAGATGGATTGGCTATACTCTGAGGAAACAAACCATCAAGTGACAGTACTAGAGAAGCCAGTTCTCGAGTGGAACCCGAAAGGGAAGCGGCGAGTTGGTCGTCGGGGCGAGGGTGGGGTGATTTGGAGGGGAAGATGAAAGCGTGTGGGCAGACATGGAGCCAGGTAAAGACTCTAGGAGAGAACGGAACGCAATGGAGACGCACGGCTGAACTCCTGTGTCGCTCTAGGTAATAAAGGATACAATGATAATATTAATAACCATTCACAGTCAGCTTTTGGTGAAGAATCATCACGAATGATTGAGTTATTTTCACTCTTCTTTATTCTAGTTCTCCAAGTTTGGCTGATTAGCAATCTTTTTATGTTTATTTACAATGTATCAACTGGCTTTTTAGTATTCCGTTGCAACTATTTCTTCTCGGAACTACCTTTTTTGTCGCAAACACTTGTCTACTGATACTTGTTCATAGTAGTATAAATAGTATGGATAAACATTTTTTAATTTTGCATATGTTTTTTCCACTGTTGTAGTATACGAGGATAGTGCGACATGACCACATATGCCATATCCTCATGATGGCGGTGATACAAGTATACGATAGATTTTTAATGTTTTGATTAGCTTTCTGTTTTAGTGAGGACTTTGTATTTGTCTAGACTGATTGGGGATTGCAAATATAACAGTGACATTGAAACAACCAAATAGACAGGACGGAATGAACAGTCTCCTTGGATTAACCCAGTGAAAATCGCAAATGAAAAGATTCTTAGAGATGGAAAGTACGAAATGATCTGACAGTTTTCCTTAGATCATTTATTATTATAAGTTCCATAAAGGTGGACAGCTTCGGCCTTTAATCAGTAGTTAGAAGACGTAGCACACGTTTTACGAGAATCTATTCGTGAATGTAATAAACAGTGTACTGTCATGTGTCAGTCGGCAAAGAAGTTCAGTTTTGAAGAATAATCAGCAGCTCTCTGAAATGGACTGGGTGACTATGGGGCTAGATAAGTGCTGAGAGTCAACGAACTTCGGATACTTGATTTGTTGTTGGATGGGATTCAATTCGAAAGAACCTTGAAAACATCATGATTTGAATAAACGCATTGTCAAGCTTTTAAAATAATTAATTGATGCGTATATGATAAAACCGATGAGTTCGAAAGATTCAAATAAAACAATCACAGATATACCGATCCACAATCCCATATTACCGCCAATATCAGATATAAGTCGAGACAGTGGGTATTCATTTTCTTCGAGAACTAGTCTGCCACGAGGGCTAACACGTTCTACCGTTAATAATGCAAAATTATTACGTAATTGACGGAGTATTTCTTGTTGTGCTGATTCATTTCGTAATACCTCTTTCATGAATTCATCACTTGAAATATGACCAACACCGTGAATACTTTTGTCGTCACTCATAATTTGATTTGCCAGGAGATGGAAAATGTTGATCAGAAAGTCAGTTCTGGCTTCATTAGTGCGCACTACCCCATAAATCTGCCATTGGGTTATTCACCATACCGAAATGATTATACTTCACTTCATCACAATTTGTTGATTGTGCATAGAATTCACAATGTTGAGCTTTCGCTAAGCTCAAATATAAACTGGCATTACTATACTTTTTGAGTACACGGTGCATACAATTCAAATTTCCCACCAACTGATAGTCACTGAATATTGACATGTTCAAACACAAGACTGGCTGAGATATTGGTCCATTGGTGTTCGTATTATTATTATTATTATGATGATCATTACTATCAGTTATATTAAGTAATTCAGGGAAATAACCATACGGGAGAAATGGACTATAACAATGACATTCTTGTAGATATAAGTATTGTGACAATAATCGATGGCATAAATCTCCACCAGTATCATAAATTCGACGTTTTGTCACTAGATCAGCGTCGTATATCATTGCTGAATACTTTTCTTTATGACACCGTCGCTTTTCTTGGTTACGTTGATGACGTACCATTTCTATTTGTACATGATGAATATATCCAGGGGTTAATTCAATAACTCCTCTTACAGGAAAATGATTTGGTGATGTGATGTATACATCAATTATGTGTGGATAGTACGAAGAATTAATAATCAAATAACTATGGAGATTAGATTTTAAATAGAATCCAACTTTTTCTATTCTCTTCATTATTGATTTGTTTAAATAACGCGCAATCTAGGTGAAAATATAATAATAATAGTGATAAGCAGCATCGCAGAAGCATGAGTGTGAATTTTAGCATAGATTTAACCGTCACTTAACTAATCAGTGAAGAACTAGGCAACACGGTGACACTTCAGTACAGTGCACTCATAATATCCCCAGGTATCAGACTCAGGATCTCCAGGTGACAAGTTCGAGAACGTTAATCAGCGAGCCAGTTGTCTGGAGATTCATTCACCCGGGGATTCTAACTTTTGTCGAACCCATGATGTAACTCTACCACCAACGAATGACTTCGATCAGCGTCCACTTCCTGCGATAACGTGAAACTCGCTGACCATGACCTGTCGCTTTCAGGAGAAGTTCCTCATAGTATGACGATCCCTCTGGATACAAGTTGGTTGTTTACTTGATAATTCGTGATCAGAATTAAAGTTCAGACCAAGTGTATCGTTCTATGTTAGAACTCATCATCTGCCTATGCCTGCAGACAGCAGGATTGAAGATATTCAAACGTTGTAAGTTGTACTTGGTGAATGCTTTTCAGGTAGATATGGAAAAGGAAATTTCGTGTATATCCATTTTTTTGGAATTTTTCATCAAAAGACATATACCCCCAAGCAAACCTAACAAACCAAAAGCCCCCAAGGAAAGCACAAAGAAAGTCATATATAAAGGACATCTCAGAAATCACTACAAGACTCTTCATACCTTTAGGAATTGACGTCGTACACAAACCAACAAAATCACTTCACTCAATTCTATGTCAACCAAAAGACTCAACAGCGAAAGAAGATAAAACCAACATTATCTACAAGATAAATTGTAACAACTGCGAAAAAACACTACATTGGCCAAAGTGGACGTTCCCTTCGTTTCCGTATCCACGAACATAAGCTAGCCGTCAAAAGATATGACATCCACTCCCTCATATCACCACACTGCATACAGACAACCACAGGCATCAATTCGATTGGGACAATGTTCAAATATTAGACAGAGGAAACAGCAAAGAAGCTAGAGAATTTTTAGAAGCTTGGCATTCGAGTGAATCATCAATAAATAGACACATCGAGATAGACAAAATTTATCAACCGATAAGAAAGAAACGTCACAAACAAAGGGTCAAAGTTCAAGTCAAAAAACAATCAGTTCCAATGCACCTTGTAGAGTAGAAGGTGTGAAAACACACAAAAACAACCAATCACGTCCAAGGTCACCAGGAGAGATGATTAGTAAACTCGTGGAGAAATCTAAAACTTCACTTCAATTCAATTTGAAGTATGCGCTGAAGATGTCGCCTAGTAGGGCGATGAAAGCTTCGCAAATTGACCATTCAGCTCAGAGAACACAACCACATCAAAATCATCCACCTGAGCTACAAATCTTCTCCATCATATCGAAAAGATATTTTAAACACAATTTACCGCTGCTCAAGATTATATCAGAGAGACACGATATGATATTTTTTAAATCATCAAATCTTGGAAATTCAAAAGTTTAATGAATTTTCCTTCATTTATTTGAAATCTCAGTGGAAATGGTTTCTCTTTTATTCTGTGAGACTGACAAACTCATGCTCAATCCTCCTCTCATCCAGGCGTCTGACTGGTTCTTAGATTAGGCAACATTTTGGAGTGCATCTGCAGGGAATCCAGACAATTTGCTGTGAATTGTTGATATTGCGACAAGCACCAGTCACTACCAATGGTTGAAATCTGGATTGCATCATCTTTTTCATTTGAGCCGTTGGATAGCATCGTATTAATTACAGGCAGGTGTCATGGATGACCGTGTCAAATCAAGGAAGGATGGGATCAGGAAAGGAAGACAGGCGTTTATTACTGTGAAATTAATGTAGAGGTCAAAAAGGATTAGTGCGAGAGAACGCCTGGTATTAATATTGTGTGAGTCTGTGCTTCCATGTGGTTCAGAGAGTTGACCCAAGTGTCAGGAAAGCTATCCCCTAGAGGCTATTGTAGAGTTTCATCAAAACCTGTCTTCAATAATGGACGTCACGAGACTGGTCAGGAAAGACAAGGATACAGAAAAGAAAACTCTGGTAGGCTGTGAACCAACAAACATCCAGAATAAAGTGTGCGTAGATAAGGTGAATATACTCTGGCGAGACATACAAATGGCAATTCCTCCCAGCATCTCCAGTGAAGTCGACGAGTCATGCAAAGGGAAGTGAAATAAAGAATATCTTGCTTGTGGCGAAAATGAATCCATCATATCGATACTTCTACCCTTGACCTAATGTTCAACTTGTAACTCGAGAAATATATATTAAATATATTACTGAAAATATTCATCAGATTTTCCATAGCACAAAAAATAATCACAATTTTGTTGTTGGTATTATTATTGCTGTCAACTTACCTGAAAATTGTGACATGGTATATTATAATATTTTTGTAATATTTGTGTATAAAAATAATTTCCCCATGGTTTTGGCATACTAGTTAATTTCACATCCATGTCTACTGTCAGTAGTATCCCCTGATGTCTATCTTGTCGAGCGATAAAAAGAAACATATCGTTCACATTGCCAACATTGAATCTCCAATGAGGTATACTTGAACGCACAAGTGACTGCATGATAACTTCATTAGTAGTAATTCCAGCAACACTAAGAAATAACTCTTTTGGTATATGATGCATTGTTGAAAGATTTCTTGCCTGATTGACATAGCGGTTCCACAGTGCTCGTCTTTCCCGTGTATTTAAATTATACGGTGCCATAGCATTACAGAAAGTGATATCTGGCCACACAAATTCCTCATAATCATCATGGTAACTGGTCAAAACTGGTCGTGATAAATAATGTGCTACAACATGTGAAAGGTTAGTCAGGAAACCGGCTACACCAGCTAACCATACGGCGAACCATATTAATCGTGCACGATTGTTTGATGATGTTGAGATATGTGTCAATCCTTGTATTGTACTCTGCTCAAGTAGACGGGAAATGCCCTTTCGAAAGTGATGGGGATTAGTAAATCTATCATTTGTAGTATCATTAGTGCTGCTACTATGAGTCTGGGAGGGATCAGTGCAAATGTGTATTTCATTCCCGTGCACTGTTTCTGATCTCTCTTCATGGTTACTCGATGGCATCGCTGAGTGCTTTTCTGGTGAGACAGTTTGCCTGTCTACTTCTTAGTACTTAGACTGACAATCTGAAATTGAAGGAAACAGTGTAAAAGTTGTCCTCGTTGAGTTTTGTAATGGTGATTTATCTCAGTATGATGGTGTGTATGTGTGAGGATATGTTATGTGGAATGAAGTTGTTTTACATATACACATATCTATATGTTATATTCTGAGTAGGGGTGTGGAGGGTTGCATGGTTACGTAGGAGAAAAGAAGACAACAACCAATTATTGGTCCATTGTAGACAAACTCGACGGATCACTGCCTTTTTGGATAATCGACACTATTTACTGATAATATGACTGGGTAATTTATGAACAAGGAGAATGAGACTATCAGAAAAGAGTTGACAAATTCAAATAAATCCCAGTGGAATGTGATGGCGTATACACATGTAAATGGGTATGTGAATATATATATATATGTATATATATGCTTGAATAAAGCAAAATCAACGGCGTACGTGAACTGTGATGATTGCATCCATTATTTCGTTGGCTTTCCATCAACTCTCCATCACCTGTGTTACATCTAAAAAATAAACGATTAAGCTTATTTAAAAAGCGATTGTAATTTACTTGGAACGGTGACTGAATGTCTTTTGGAATTAATTGCCACCGCTTCAGATACTGATAGAAGACGTAGTCGAGCTCCTCTAGATAAATTATTAGGAACGCGGTAAATAACTGAGAACGCCTGGTCAAGTTTTATCAGGTGTTCCGTATCTACCAAGTGGGCTAAGACTGCACTGTTTACACATTTGGCTACTCTTTGGTCATCCATCATCTATTCTACAATGTACAGCTCAAGAACAACACACTTTTACTGACACTAACTACTCTGGGATCATTACTACTACAGCTACAGAAATAAAAAATGATACTTCATTGAAATGAAGCTAGCCTACTTACTACACCTAACCTTAAATCTCACAGGCATTTTATAGGTATATTTAGGTAGGTATAGTAAGGGGTGGCGTCAACTAACAGAAATTATACAGCTCATCCAACAGTTGTAGTAAAATGCTGCATGCTAATAAGTAATCCACACAGAGCAGAACAGAATAGGGAAACTCACAGAATCCTTCTTTGAAGAAGAGAAGACGGGAGTAAGACAAGACTGGCTGCCTACCTGCCTACTTACTATCTCCAGTGATTCTTTTCCAGGTTGCAGTAGACTGGACAATGCGACAGACAAACAGCGGCGGGGCGAGGCGGGCCAGGCCGGGCAACGAGGAGACAGGCATCAAATGAACCCATACCAAAAACAATTGGACGATCTGCATTTCGCCAGTGATAAATATATATATATATACCCAGCAACACACTGCCGCTGCACACATTTCTCTGCCATCAATTTTAATTAGCTCGAGTGCTACCCAAAAACTTTCATTTCCTCTTGATCTCTTCTCCTTCATGTCTCTCTCAGAGTCACGCCCATCTCCTCGCTTACCGAAGGAGGTCCAATGGACGTCAAGTCTTGTGATTTCACTTGCATGTTTCTTCAAATCAAGTCTGATTCATCCAACTCTGTTTCCTTATGCATCCTTTTGGAAAGATGGTGGTTGGTTCGCCTGCTATCGTAGTTTCTAGTTATTTATCTTTTCTGCTTCTCCACCATTGGTGATATGGGTACTGTCCCTTGTGCTGAGTGCTGGAGATCTCTACACAGATTTTAAGGTGATAAACTCCTGCCCTGCCTTCGCAATCCTGCATTTAATTGAAGCATTGATCCTCCAGACTAGTGGAAGAGGTGAAATCTTTTGTAATTTATTCCACTGATAGTGGTTAGTATATATTTTTGGTGTTCGAGTTGCGACAATATAAAGTTATTCCTAAGTGTCCACTTATGTACGC